TGATCCCCTGGAATCGAACCGACATCTCTTACATCTCCTGGTTTTTACCACTAGCGCCACCTAAGAATTGGGAATGGAAGATGCTAATCTGGGTGAGGGGACTCTGAGGTGTCAAGACTGAGTATTCTTGCTGTTTGTTGTAAGAGTTGTTGTAGAGAAACTGGCCCTCCACTCCGCTGTGTCAGGGAAATCTCTCAGCGTAACCAGTGCTCAAGGTGGATCGTTAAACATATTTATTGAGTCTTTGCAAGATGCTAGGCACTGTCCTAGGTGCTGTGGATAGACTGGCAAGGGAAATAGACTAAGATTCCTGCCCTTGTGGAGATCAGATTGTAATTGGGAAACATGTGTTGAAGATAATAAGTAAATTACCAGTGAAGAGTGTATCACTGATTCGAAGAAGCATGTGGCTTACTATGATAACATTAGTTATGTTGTGTTAATTGCAGTTAATGAAATGTTAGAAGATGTCAAATGCTATGGGGACAAATTCCCTCGTGGTCCAGTGGTTAAGAATCTGCCTGCCAATGCAGGGGACATGGGCTTGATCCCTGGTCCGGGAATACTCCACATGCCTCGGGGCAGGAAAGCACAGGTGCCACAACTACTGAAGCCTGTGCATCTAGAGCCCATGTTCCACAACAAAAGAAGACACTCCAATGCAATGAAGAGTAGCCCCCATTATGCCGTAACTAGAGAAAGCCAGGCACAGCAATGAAAGACCCAGCACAGCCAAAAATAAATACATAAACTTCAAGGAAAAGGTATATATTTTTTTAAAAAAAAGCTATGGGGGGGTAAGATCAGGGTAAAAAAGGTTAGAAATTCTGGGAGAGGATGGTTTCCATATTCAATAGGGTAGACAGGGTAGACATCACTAAGAAGGTGGAATTTAAGCAAAGATTTGAAGGAAGAGAGCGAGTAAGACTTTTCTGGAGGGAAACCACAAGGACAGAACAACCTGTGAAAACACCCTGAGGCAGGAGCATGTCTAGGGTGTTTGAGGAATAGCCAGGAGTGGGGGTGGGGGATGAGAACAGACAATGTCAGGGAGGTTCTTCACTCAATCGTGTCCGATTCTTTGTGACCCCATGGGCTGTAGCACACCAGGCTTCCCTGTCCTTTACTATCTCCTGGAGTTTGCTCAAATTCATGTCGATTGAGTTGATATTGCCGTCCAACCATCTCATCCTCTGTCTCCCCCTTCTCTTCCTGCCCTCAATCTCTCCCAGCATCAGGGTCTTTTCCAATGAGTAGGCTTTTCACATCAGGTGGCCAAAGTATTGGAGTGTCAACTTCAGCATCAGTACTTCCAATGATGATTCAGAACTGATTTCCTTTAAGACTGACTGGTTTGATCTCCTTGCTTTTCGAGGGGCTCTCAAGAGTCTTCTCTAGCATCACAGTTCAAAAGTATCAATTGTTTGGCAGTTAGCCTTCTTTATGGTCCAGCTCTCACATCCGTACATGACTGCTGGATTAACTATGTGGACCTTTGTTGGCAAAGTGATGTCTCTACTTTTGAATATTCTGTCTAGGTTTATCATAGCTTTCCTTCCAAGAAACAAGCATCTTATTATTTCATGGCTGTAGTCACCGACTGCAGGGATTTTGGAGCCCAAGAAAAGAAAATCCATCAGTTTCCCCTTTGTCCTCTTGTATTTGCAGAAAGTGATGGGACTGGATGCCATGGTCTTAATTTTTTGAATGTTGAGTTTTAAGCCAGATTTTTCACTCTTCTCTTTCACTCTCATCAAGAGCCTCTTTAAGTTCCTCTTTGCTTCCTGCCATTAGAGTGATATCATTTCCATGTCTGAGGTTGTTGTCAGGCAGGGACTAGTGCCAAATCATATAAGGTCTTTCAATTCAGGAATGCCGTTGGTACCTCTGATTCTTTGTTCCTACCTTCTTTTCCCTCCTTGTTTCTCTCATCTCCTCCAGTGTCCTCCCTTCCTTAGACTGTATAGATTCTGTGGTCAACCACCATAATCGTGCCCTTGCACAAATGACATGATCTCCCTTACTCTTTCTCCCTCAGTCATACTTGCCTGGCAAAACCCCAACCCTGGTTAAAATGAACTCACTGCCTTCTCTGCGCCTGCTCCCACCCAGCTGAACTCGGGAGGGAACACATTTCAGATGTGTGGCTGCAAATACTCAGAACCAAACTGCAAGGCTGCCACAGTTTTCTTCTCCAGTCCCTAAGAAATCATTTTCTCATCTCTTCTCTCTAAACCTCCAGCCGCTCTTCATTCTCACTTCTTCTTTTGCTGAAAAAAATAGAAACATTCAGAAAGAAACTTCCTTAGGCTGGCCCCAGGGACACTACCAGCTCACTTGCAGAGGTGCACTCTTGCCTCTCCGGTGAGCATGTTTGGACGATCTGTAAGAGGCCAACCGCTCCACTTCAGCACTGCATCTCCTCTCCTCCCCCTACTCAAACATTTCCCTCTTGCAGTGTTTCCTTCTCTCTCTTGCATCATTATTTGTGCAACACTTGAGCCTTTGCTCCTTTAGGATACCTCTTCACTGAATGCCCCCACTTCCTGTTGAGAATGCTTTCTGAAACTCGGGGGTCCTAGGCCCTCCCGCTTTGTAAGCTCACCCTTGACAATCCTTTTCCTCCACCATTCACCTAAGCTACAACACCCTAAAGGAAACCCAAGTTCCAGAGTCGGGGTCCCAACAAGATTTTGAAAGCAGATCTTCTGGCCTCACAGAAGCCTTCTGATGTTGACCGCCCCAGCTGACATCTGCCTGCAACCCCACGAACCAGAACTGCATGGTCAAGCTGCTTTCAAATTTCAAACCCAGAAAGCTTATCAAAAGAGTAATAAATGATTTCTTTTTCAAATTTTCAACCTTTTATTTTGTACTGGGGTATAGCTGATTAACATTGTTGTGATAGTTTCAAATGAACAGTGAAGGGACGCAGCTATATATATACATGTATTCGATGTTTCCCAACCCCCTCCCATCCAGGCTGGCACATAGCATTGAGATCCACGTGCTTTATAGCAGGTCCTTGTGATTATCCTTTTTGAATATAGCAGTGTGTACATGACCTTCCCAAACTCCCTGACTATACTCCTCCCCCAAGGAACCATTAGTTTGTTTTCTAAGTCTGTGAGTCTCTTTCTGTTTCATAAGTAAGTTCATTTGTATCATTTCTTTTTAGATTCCACACATAAGGGATGTCATATGATACTTCGCCTTCCCTGTCTGGCTTACTTCACTCAGTACGACTCTCTGGGTCCATCATGTGGCTGCAAATAGCATTATTTCATTCTTTTAATGGCAGAGTAATATTCCAGTGTGTATACGTGCCACATCTTCTTTATCCAGTCTTCTGTAGATGGACATTTAGGCTGCTTCTGTGTCCTGGCCGCTGTAAACAGTGCTGCTCCTGTCTTAAACCACTCAGTTTTGGGGTGATTTATTGCACAGCGCTGACAAGTACACCCTCCCCAGTTTGCTTTTTTCTAGTTCTGTCCAACCCTTGTAAATGGAAATAGCATTAACACAGTTGTAATAATGTAAATGAACTGTTTTTTTCCTTACAGATTCTTGGGCTGTATCTTGGGGATTTGGAATCAGAAACTCTGAGGGTGATATCCAGAAATCTAGGGTACTTTTCAGTTGGATTTTTGGATGCTCCTCAATATTTGAAGTGAAGTGAAGTGAAGTCGCTCAGTCATGTCCGACTCTTTGCGACCCCATGGACTGTAACCTAACAGGATCCTCAGTCCATGGGATTTTCCAGGCAAGAATTCTGGAGTGGGTTGCCATTTCCTTCTCCAGGGGATCTTCCTGACCCAGGGATTGAACCCGGGTCTCCCGCATTGTAGGCAGACGCTTTACCGTCTGAGCTACCAGGGAAGCCCAATCTGCCATTAAAAACAAATAAATATTTGAATATTAAGACAGGCTCCCCATTTCCTACCTCTTCCCCAATCCTGGTACTAAGTGGCCAAAAACTTTTAAGTTAAAATGCCATGTGATAACACGAGATTTTGCTGACTGTTCTGGGAGTAACTTACAAGTTGGGAATACCTGTGCAGGACCTTCTTAATAGTCACTGCTCTGGGTTACCGATTTCCTTCTATGAAATAAGTTGTAACTAAAAGTCAACCTAGTTTAAAAAGCTTTGGAGTTCTCTACTGAGTTGTCTGCTGAAGTGTCACGGTATTTACAGGGGCTCATCTTGGGCTGCAAATAGACTGTGCCTTTCAGGAGGACTGGGCTGCTCGTTTCCCATCCCAGTCACGCTGGTAGCTGGGTTTTCCATTAGTCATCCCTAGTTGCAATGAGGAAAAGGCATTGGGACTATGAAAGGTTTTTATTTGTGTGTGTTTCAGTATTTTCCAAATAAGACAATGAGTGGCTCCTGGGACTTCCCTGGCAGTCTGATGATTAAGTCTTTGCCTTCCAGTGCAGGGGGTGCAGGTCTGATCCCTGGTCAGGAGTCAAGATCCCACATGCCTCATGACCAAAAGAAAACAAAACAGAAGCAATATTGTAACAAATTTAACAAAGACTTTAAAAACAGTCCACAACAAGAAAATCTTACAAAAAAATAAAAGAAGTAGGGTTCTTGATACTCTGGCAGTCTGATTCTCTCACCCTTCCCCCAGACCCTGCACAAACACCCTGCCCATCCCTTTGGTGGCCAAGGAAAACCCTTGTGGTTAATGAGTCTCAGAAAAAAATGAAGTGAAAGTTTAAGTAAAAGAGACAATACCTAAAGAGTGGAGGGGGCGGGGCACAGAAGACCCTCCACCACCACTGAATCTGGGAGTAAGGCATGTCAGTAACACAGGATAATACTTCTGGAGACCCTACAAAAATATTCTGCACATCCCTTCAAAAGTACCACCCGTTATCCCCACATCAACCATCAAGAAACTCCACGTCTTGGTGGAGTGGGCAGTGAACAGGGCGGAGCCTCCGCTGAAAGAAAGCAGAGCTGCATGACGCCTGGGTCCACACGGTCCCCAGAGATGTCTCTGCCATCGTTGCTGCTGCTGCTGCTGCCACCGTTCCTGACCCTGGAGCCCGCCGGGGCCACGCTGATCCGGTAATGGGGACCCCCATCACCCTCAAACCTGGGACAGTCTCTCTCCCTCTTACCCTCAAGTCCAGGGCTCCCCAGTTCAGGGACTCCCAAACCTGGCACCCCAGCATCCATGACTCCTACCTTTTCGGTTCCTGGTTCTCCAGATTGGGCTTTCACCCACTGAAGGGTCCTCCCTGATCTCTCCTGAGACCCAAGCCCTTTCAGTCCAAGGTTCTTCACCCTGAAACCCTGGGTTGGGGCCCATCCCAATCTTCTCAGTACACATTTTTGGAAGGACTGTGCTGGTCCCACTTTGAGCTGTGATGATCTGATACTGAAATCTCCAGACCTGTGACACCCCTCTTCCAACAAAACTTGGAGAGACAGGTCTGACATTTGAGACTCCCCCAGTTTTACATCTTCCAAATTGTTGAGGTCTCAAGAAGTCCCGTTTTAGGGACCCCTATGACCTCATCCCCACCTGTTGCCTCCCCCAGTCTCTCCCTTCCTCTCCTCTCTTCTCTCCACTTTCTGGAACTCTTAATGGCAGGAGGGGGTCTACTCTTCCAGGAAACATTTTATCCCCACTTCACATTCTTAAGCCTCTCAAAGATTGAGTCATGGGTGGTGGGGGGGGGGCGGTCACGGAGAGCAGAGCCCCAAGGAGAAACTACAAGCAGGTACAAAAAGATTACTGCACATGATGTTTGCTAACCTACTTTTTCAACCTAATAGATCATGGCCACTTCCCTAGTCAATGTAAAGAGTCGTGATTCTCTGAGTATTGACTCAGGACCAACAACACTGGCATGAGTAGGACCCAGGAACCTGGTAGAAATGCAAATCTTTGGGCTCCGTCCTAAACACCTATTCAATCAGAAAGTAGCAGCTCTAAAATTTATTTCACTTTTGAATATGTATTTATTTGGCTGCACCAGGTCTTAGTTGTGGCATACAAGATCTTCTTTGCGACATGTGGGATTATTAGTTGTGGCACAGTAACTATCAGTTGAGACATGTGGGGTCTTAGTTCCCTGACCAGGGATGGAACCTCGCCTGTTGCAGTGGAAGCTCGGAGCCTCAACCACTGGCTGCGCTGGGTCTCCGTTGCTTTGCACAGGCTTTCTCCAGTTGCAGCGAGCGGGGGCTACTCTTCGTTGTGGTGTGAGGGCTTCTCGTTACAGTGGCTTCTCTTGTGGATGACACAGGCTCCAGGCATGTAGACTTTGGTAGTTGTGGCACATGGACTTAGCTGTTCCGTGGTGCATGGAATCTTCCTGGACCAGAGACGGAACCCATGTCCCCTGCACTGGCTGGCAGAGTCCTATTCACTGTGCCACCAGCGAAGTCTTATATACATTCTTTTTGATATTCTTTTCCATTGTGGTTTATTACATGATATTGACTGTAGTCCCCTGTGCAATACAGTAGGAACTTGCTGTTTATCCATTCTAAATATACGATATTGATAGTTTCCAGGACTTTCCTGGTGGTCCAATGGCTAAGACTCCAGGTTCCCAATGCAGGGGGCACAGGTTTGGTCCCTGATCAGGGAACTAGACCCCCTATGCCACAACTAAGAGTTTGCATGCTGCAATTAAAAGACGTCACATGCTACAACGATGGCCTCTATCCCGTGTACAGCAACTAACACCTGACACAGTCAAATAAATAAAATATTAAAAAACATTGATAGTGTGCATCTGCTAATCCCAAACTCTCAATCCATCCCCGAATATGTTAGAATCTTGGCAGAACTTCGTGTACGCCGGAATGGCTTATTTTACATTTGGAATGTCTTTTATTGAAACGTTTTGGGGAGAGTCTGTTTGGGATGGTTTGCTCTTTGGAGAGTCTTCAGGGGAAATCTGTCATTGTGGTTTGGTAGGTGTCTGGGTGGGGGTGTCTGGAAGGTCACTTTTGTAGGGCTCCTGGCAGTGACCCTGATGCTGGGAAAGACTGAAGTCTGGAGGAGAAGCGGACAACAGAGGATGAGATGGTTGGAAGGCATCACCGACTCAACGGACATGAGTTTGAGCAAGCCCCAGGAATTGCTGATGGACAGGGAAGGCTGGTGTGCTGCAGTCCATGGAGTTGCAAAAGGTCGGATGTGACTGAGCGACTGAACTGAACTGGTAGTGACCATTACTCCAGGACCATGGAAATGTTTACACTGTCATCATATCCTCTGGGGAAGTCTGTTATGGAGGATCTCTAGAAAGGGTAGCTCCTTAACTGTAGGCATCTCTTCCCCCTACAGGATCCCACTTCGAAGAGTCAACACTGGTTTCAAGGCCCTGAACCCACTGAGGGGATGGGAGAAGCTAGCGGAGCCCCCCAGTTTGGGGGCTCCATCCCCTGGGAACAAGACCTTCTTTGTGCCTCTCTCCAATTATATAAATGTAGGTCACAGCCCTACACAGGCTGCCACCACCACCCCCCCACTTCCCCCAGCCCCCACCCCAACCTTCCTGCCTTCAAGTCAAGCTCTTCATCCACAGCCTCTCCTGTTTTGCCATCAGGCCCAGTATTATGGGGAAATTGGGCTGGGGACCCCCCCACAAAACTTCTCTGTCGTCTTTGACACTGGCTCCTCCAACCTCTGGGTTCCATCTGTGAGATGCCACTTCTTCAGTCTACCCTGCTGTGAGCTTTTATGGGGGAAATTAAGGTTGAACTCGGGTAACGGGAGGAGGGCTGGGCCTGGTCTTCCCAGGATTTTTGAGGACCTGTTCTCTTCCGACACACCCTCACAGGTGAGTCGGCAAGAGGGGCAGGAGGCACCAGGAAGACCTCTCTTCCCCAGTGACGTCTCCTTGACCCTCTAACCTAGGGCTCCACCACCGCTTCAACCCCAAAGCCTCCAGCTCCTTCCGGTCCAATGGGACCAAGTTTGCCATTCAATATGGAACCGGGCGCCTAGCCGGCATCCTGAGTGAGGACAAGCTGACTGTGCGTGACCTTGTTCCCGGGACGGCCGGAGCCTAGAAGCAGCCGATTTCTACGATTATCTGGTTTAGGGAGGGGTTTGGAGAGGCGGGGCCTCCTAAGTAAACAGACAGACGCAGCATGGAAGTGGGAGGCGGGGCTTCCTGGAGGAAGGAGGGTGGGGCTGGGCCTCCTAGGCAGGGGTAGGCCTTTGCCAGGCAGAGCTACTTAGGCAGTTGGAGGGGTTCACAGCTCCAGGGGGTTTTGAGGACCCGACCTGGGATTCATGCCTTGGTTTGGGAGACCTGAGTTATGTAGGTAACATCCTCCTGAAAGTAACTCACTCCTTTTGAATCTACCCCAGATTGGGGGAATCACAGGTGCAACAGTGACTTTTGGGGAGGCTCTGTGGGAGCCCAGCCTGGTGTTCATTTTTGCCCACTTTGATGGGATACTGGGCCTCGGTTTTCCTGTTCTGGCCGTGGGAGGAGTTCGGCCCCCGCTGGACAGACTGGTGGACCAGGGCCTACTGCATAAGCCTGTCTTCTCCTTCTACCTCAACAGGTAATGGGCGAGGGCCTACCTTCCTCTAAGTCCTAGTCCCAAGGAGGAAGCCCTGCCCTCCTTCAGGAAGTCCCTTGCCCAATAAAGGAAGTCCCGCCCTCCATTCAGGAAGTCACTGTCCCAATAGGAGAAACACCTGAACCCTATTCAGAAGTTCCACTCGCTAAGCAACACCTTGAGACCTACCAAAAAAAATTCACCATCATTTAAAATGTTTCATGTTTCAAAGCTCAAATCAGGAAATTCCATGCCCTACCCCATCAAATACTGAATTTAAGAACCCCATCTTCAGCATAAAGAAATCCCAATTCCATTTGGGAACACACATCAGAAGTCAGGAATTGCCCCGTTTTAACCTAAGAAGTCCCATCTACCTTTTAGGAAGCTTACACCTTACACTCAAAAAGCTCCAGCTGTCATTCAGGAAGTCTGCCAGGAGGAAATTCTATGTCTTTAGTTATCTGGATGTCCAACCCAAGAAATCCCATCCACTTTTCTTCTTTCTGCCTGGGTCAGCATAGTTCCCCGACCAGGGATCAAACCAGTGACCCTTGCAGGGTCATGCAAGGGGATGCACGGAGTCCTAACCACTGGACTGCCAGGGAATTCATCCACCTAACACTTAGTAGATCCTGTCCTTCCACACTTCTGGGAAGTCCCCACCCCCTACACCCCCCACCCCCGACCCCGTTCCCATCACTCTCAGCCAACCGAAGAATTCTAATTCCACTGAATGTCTACACATGCAATTCAGAAAGTCTCATCATCCACCTGGGGTGCCTCACTCCTCTCAATCATGCCACCCAGAGCCAATTCAGAAATCTCAATGCTCTACTCCCCCCAAAGTCCTGCTTTCTATGAGCAAATCAAGAAGTCCCATGCCCACTTCAGGAAGCCCCCCAAGACCCTGAAATCCTAACCTCCCCCAAGAAAATCCCCATTTCTCTTCACTCCTTGTCTTGCTTCCAGTCCCCACACTGAGGTCCTGTCTGCATCCTACTATCCCACCTAGATCCCAGACATCACCCCTTTGGCAGAAAGTCCCTCCCTTGGCCATTCTTGGGGCTGACAGGAGAAATTCCCATGACACCTACAACTGTCTGCCTCTGCAGGAACCCTGCGGCAGCTGACGGAGGAGAGCTAGTCCTGGGTGGCTCAGACCCAGCACACTACATCCCACCCCTTACCTTTGTGCCAGTCATGATCCCCGCTTTTTGGCAGATCCACATGGAGCGGTGAGGAACCTGGCCTCCTAGGTCTGGGAGGAGTGGGCTAGAGCCTAAACTCCAGTGTCCTGAGGAAAAGGGAGTTGGGGATCCAGATTCCCTAGGTCTGATGGAGGAGGGGTTGTGGGCCTGGACTCCTAGCTCTGAGGGAGGAGAGGGCTGGGGGTCTTGCCTCCTAGGATGCCGGCTCTAATGACTGCCCATTTTTTCCTCACAGTGTTCAGGTGGGCACAGGGCTGACTCTCTGTGCCCAGGGCTGTGCTGCCATTCTGGACACAGGCACATCTCTCATCACAGGACCCACTGAGGAGATCCGGGCCCTGCAGAAAGCCATTGGGGCAATCCCCCTGCTGATGGGGGAGGTGAGGACCTGGTGGCTGGTGCACGTGGGCTGGGGAGACTCACAGGGATTTCACAGTGGTCACTGTACAGGATGCTCTGGCCTGAAGGTGGGAATCAGATGGGTAAGAGGGCATCCCAGGGCAGAAAGCACTGGACCTTGTGAGTGAGAGGTTGGGGGTCTAGTGGGAGGAAGCAGACACCTCCCTAGAGTCTTATCCTGAGTGTCACAGTGTATAGGAGAGGACTGTGACCCAGGTTTACTGGATGAGAGTGAGTGAACATGATGAGTGTAAGACCAATTACAAATACCTGCAGGCCCAATATGGCCCGTGGGCCACCAGTTTTTGATTTTCAATTAAAGGAAAAGAGGACCTGGTCAAATGGGAGCCTAGGATAAGTGGCAAGAATTATACAGGAGTAAGGAAGAGCCAGTAAGGCTACATAATACAGTAGAGCTTGACCACACAAGGTCTTTAACACCTAGTTGCCCAAAATGGACATGACCCTGCTGCACTGGGGAGCCACAGAAAAAATTTGAGCCGAGAAGGAATCCCTCATCTCGGACTTGTTCCTCTTTTTCCTCAGTACTACATCGAGTGCTCGAAAATCCCAACGCTCCCCCCAGTCTCCTTCCTTCTTGGGGGGGTCTGGTTTAACCTCACGGCCCAGGACTACGTCATCCAGGTAGGTGGCCGTCACAATGACGCCAGAGTGACGACTCTGGAAGGGTGGGGCTGGGAGTGAGACGTCACTACGTCCAAGCAGGCGGCACAGAAACATATCTAGTGGTGGGCAGGGCGATGCTCCGGCTTCTAGGAGAAAGGCAGGCCGGTGGCCGTGACACCTGTGACTGGTCTTATCGCCTTGTAGATTACTCGGAGTGGCTTCAGTGTCTGTTTGTCTGGCTTCGCGGCTCTGGACGTGCCTCCGCCCTCAGGGCCCTTCTGGATCCTCGGTGATGTCTTCTTGGGTAGCTACGTGGCTGTCTTCGACCGTGGCGACAGGAAAAGCGGCGCTCGAGTGGGTCTGGCCCGCGCTCGACCTCGAGGACCAAGACAGTGAAGGGGCGAGCTTGCGCAGGCGCAGTCCTTCGGTTGAGGCCCTGGTTAAGCGCATGCGCACCCCCTGATAATAAAAAAAAATTTTACTATTTACCTCAAACTTACCGAGGTCGCTTCCTTTTTTTTTTCTTTTTTTAGGGGGAGAAAAAAAGTTAGTGTCCGGCTTTCTGGAGTTGAGACAGAAAGGCATTGCTCCTTGTCTCCCAGATCACACAGGTGGGAGGACCTTGTACTACGAAGTCCATGAAGCCCCTCACCTACACTGCCTCTTCTCAAAGGCAGCCGACGCCGCAGAGCATCACGGACGTTGTAGTCTGAGCGGTGTTCACGCGCTGACGTGGGCGGGCGTAGCCACAACACGCGTAGGAAGCGACAGGTCGCGACCGCAACGACAGGTGGCAGTGGAGGGGGTGGGGTGTCTGAAACCGTAAAGGGTTTCCCAACCTTTGTTCTAAGGGGAGGGCATACCATTCCCGCACACTTTATCTCCTGTTCCTCCTCTCGACCTTTGGGATTTCGGGACCCCTGGGTACGCCATAAAGGCGGGGCTTGAAGCCCCCGGGTGGGTGGGGGGAGCTGAGCCGCCCCTCCTCCAGCGATGATGTCACCCCACCCCCCCGCAGCCTCTAGCGGCCGGGAGCTTGCCGGGGCTGGGTCACCCCTCCCCCCATCGCCAGCCCCGGATTCCCTCATCCCCGCCCCGCCTCGACTTGGGGTGAGTACGGAGGAGGGGTGGGGGGAGAAGGCTCAGGGTCCGGGGGTGGTAAGACAGCCCAAGTCCCAGTTTTGAAGGCGGGGGACAAGGGAGACGGGGACTCAAAGATTACAGCGGAGAGGTACTTGGAGGGTCTCTCGGAGGGATCAAGGATCAGAGTCAGAGAGTTCCCTCCCACATTTTCAACCTTAGTGCCCGGCGTAGACTGTCCGTCCTGGATTTGGATCTGGTAGGAGTGTGGGCGGAGGAACAAGGAGGGGGTCTTGGAAGTCAGAAACAATTCCAGGGCTTTGGGGAATGAGAGAGGGAGAGTTAGGAGGGGGCGCCAAGGATGACGAGGGTGAGAGTTTGGGGCTTTCAGGAATTTTGTGTCTTGAAGGCCTGAGAAAGGATAGATTGGGAAGGAAGAGGGGTGGGGAAAGGGTTTGAAGACGTAAACAGACATTGACCTCCCCTCCCCTGGTGTCTGTCGCCAAAAATCGAGTCCACTTCCCTCTGGTCTGTTTGCCAAGCTGGTGTCCCATAACTCAAGCCCTCGTTATGCCGTCAGAAGCCTTCCGTATGGATGGAGAATCCAGGCTCATAAATCTCCCCTCATACCCCGGTGGGGCCTGGAGAGGGCCACATGGAAGTGAGGGCATCCACATTTCCTGGGGCCCGATGGAATCTGGATCATACTTGACCGAACCTCTTCCCCTCATCCCATGGTCTCTAATCCCGAGTTTCCTTCCATATTCTCCCCTATTCCAGCCTCCTCGCTTCTTCCTCCTCCCCTCCCTTCTGCCCGGGCACCTTCTTCCACGCCTTTTGACCTCTGCAAAAACGCTGATTTGGTAACTTGATCCAGTGCCTGGCTGCTGTCAAATGCAGAAAAGTATAGAGTTGCGGGGGGGGCGGGTATAAGGGGTGATACTTGACTTAAGTCCTTACCCCAGAGCTTACTCCCAGCCCCTAATGCCCACTCAACCCCTGCCCTAGCATCCATCACCACTCCCACCTGCCCCCAAAGCCTCACTCAACCCAAGCCCATTCCTTCACCTCAGGATTCACAGCTTCTGCCTAGGGATACACAGGAATTTGGAGCAGAGAAGAGTAGAAGTCCCGATGTCCTCCCGGGTCTCATGGGAGCTTGAGGACTGCCCGAGAACACTGGGTCAGGGGGTAGTGGGGGATCCTAGGTCTGGGGGTGGGGGAGTCGAAGGAAACTACCTCCCAGGTCCGCAGGACGGGCCCCACTTCTGCAACTCTGCAGTGACGCAGCCTCGAGTCCTGGCCAGGGTGAGGGTTAGAGAGGGTGATGCAGTGGGAGCCGGAAAGAGAGGGACAGAGATCCAGGAAAGGGACAGAGGCCAAAGGACAGCAGGACAGAGCCCCAAAGAAGCGGGGACCAAGAAAAAGGGGGACAGATTCAGAAAGGGGTCAAAGAGGCACAGGTGGGAGGGGGGTAGAGACCCAAAAGAGGAAAAGAGAGAGAGGACAGAAAGAGAAAAGGCAGTGACAGAGGGGCAAAAGAGACGGAGGAGGGGGAAAAGACACAGGGAAGGAGGTGGTCAGAGAACAAGAGCTGGGGGGACAGAGACCCAGAGAGAGGAGGGGGGAGGCCCTGGGGCGAGGGGAGTATTGAGGACAGGAACACAAAGAAGAAGGACACAGACAGGAGGGAAAAGAGACCAGAGAGAGGAGTTCAGGAACCCAAGAGAGGAGAAAGAGGCCAGAGAGAGAGAGAAATCAGAGAAAAAGGTAGAGGCCAAGAGAAAGACATTGAGGGTGGGGAGACCCCGCCATGGTCCGGGGAGAGGAGACTGAGGCTTAGAGAGCAGAGAGGTAAGACTCAGAGGAGGGGGACAGAGACCCCAGAGGGAGCGCAGAGACTTAGAATAGAGGGGCCAGAGTCTCAAAGGAGTAAGGGCAGAGGCGGGGGGACAAATATTCAGAGAAAAAGAGACTTTGATGAGAGACACAGAAGCCGGAGCGGGGATGGGTAAGGAGGCGATACCAACCAGTCGCCGCACCTGCCGGGGATATGCAGAGCGGGGAGGCCCGCAGCCCCTGACCAGCCCCCTTCCCTCCCACAGGCACCGCCTCCGGCCGTCGCAGCCCCAGCCGCAGCCGCTGGCCCCGCCCCTGCCCCGCGCCTGCGTCCTAACACCCGGCGGCTAGGCCCGCCCAGGGGGCGGGGCCGGACCGCTGCTAGGCGGTCCGCCTAGTTCTGGTCCCGCCCTCTATTGGCCCCGCCCCGATCTCCCTGCCCTCTCTGCAGGACGCTCTGACACCTGACTCCGCCCAAATTCCTATCGGCCCCGCCTGTTGCCTCAGTCTAGACTGTGCTTCCCGGTGTTTTATTAGTTTTTCCCTCTGCCTCCCTTAAGACTCTCTTCACCAGTTCTCATCCATTCCTCGGTTCTCCTGGCTGCAGTCTGCCATTATCTATACCTTGTCCCCTTTCCCTCACCGCGTTCTCCCTTTTAAGGCCCTGCTGACCCTTAGGACTCTCTCCCAGGTTATTTGGCCTCCAAGATTTCCCGTTCTAGGTTCCACCGCTCCGTCCATCCCTATAGCCTTGTACTCTTTGCAGGTCTCACATTTTCCTTAGCCATTCTCTACACTCTTAGCCCTGCCCCGCCCCCGCCTACCCTGGTTGCTTTCAAGACCCTTAAAGCCCCTCTCCTCTCTTAGTCTTGCATTTCCACAGGCAATTCAAGACGTTTACTACCATTCGTGGACCCCACCCACCTCTCTCAGTCTCTTCCCATCCATCCTGGCATTCTTCCGGTCCAGCCCCGGTTAATCCGGCCGAGTTTGCAGCTCCGACCCGGTACTTTCTTTACCTGTCCTCCTCCATTAGACCTAGTCAGAAGCTCTCAGGTTTCCAGGCCTCGCCCCATTCCGTCCCCTCTCTACTGGGTTTTAGTCCCTGTTCCCCTTTCTCTGTTCCTTTTCAGTTCAGCCCAGTGCCACTCATTTCCAGTTCCCGCCCCTCGCTCAGTCCCGCCCTCTCATCCTCCCAGAATTAGGACTTTGTGATTTCTGTGGCCCTGCCTCTTCTTAAGATCCGCCCCGCCCCGTCCAAGCAATGTTAGGATCCCAACCCGGCAGTCTCCATCTGCCCCACTCCACCAGATACTGCTTGCCGGCTCTTTAGGCCCGTCTCTATCCAATTCGGACGGCCATCCGCCTTGTGGCCCAAGCCCTGCCTCCGCCAGTCTCGGACCGTCAGGCCCCTTTAAATAGCTTGGACAAGTTCTATTCCTCTACCCGCCCCGCTCCTTTTTTTAGTTAAATCAGATCTCTTTCTCACATCTAGCCCCGCCTCCTCTGTTCTCCTAGTGCGGCCAAACCAGGCAACTTTCTCCTCCCATCCAGCCCCTTTAACACCTCGCTCGGCCCCGCCCCTTATCTCAGAAAGACCCAATCGGTGTGCCGCATGTGCGGCCCCGCCCCATCCAGCTAGGCAGTGTTGGAGTCTGGGGCCTTTTCCCAGTTTCAGCCCCGCCCCCACCCCTTCAAAAACCAATCAATTCAGTTCCTCCCTCCCTTCGGCTCCGCCCCTTTCCTCCATCACCTCCTCTCACCCAGTCACATCTCTCTCCCCCCGTGGCTCCGCCCCTACAACGCCCCGCCCCTGCCGCTCCGCCCCCCATCCAATGCTGAGCTCAGTCTGCGTCTCGTCCTTCCGCGGGCGCCAGGCGGCTAGCAAACAGCAGCCGGCGCCGCCGCCGCAGCCGTCCGAGTCCCCGCCACCGCTGCCCTCGCCGCCGCCGCCACCGCCGTTGCTGCAACAGCAGCAACCTGCGCAGCCCGGCCCCGCCGCGTCCCCGGCGGGCCCCCCGGCACCCCGCGGGCCCGGGGGCCGGCGCGCCGAGCCATGCCCCGGGCTGCCGGCGGCGGCCATGGGGCGGCACGGCGGCGGCGGTGGCGACAGTGGCAAGATCGTGATCAACGTGGGCGGCGTGCGCCATGAGACGTACCGCTCGACGCTGCGCACCCTGCCGGGGACGCGGCTGGCCGGCCTGACGGAGCCAGAGGCGGCGGCGCGTTTTGACTACGACCCGGGCGCCGATGAGTTCTTCTTTGACCGGCATCCGGGTGTCTTCGCTTACGTGCTCAACTACTATCGTACGGGCAAGCTGCACTGCCCGGCCGACGTGTGCGGGCCGCTCTTCGAGGAGGAGCTCGGCTTTTGGGGCATCGACGAGACCGACGTGGAGGCCTGCTGCTGGATGACCTACCGGCAGCACCGGGACGCCGAGGAAGCGCTCGACTCCTTCGAGGCACCCGACCCTTCGGGCGCCGCCAACGCTGCCAACGCCGCGGGCGCCCACGACGCGGGTCTGGACGACGAGGCGGGCGCGGGCGGCGGTGGCCTGGACGGCGCCGGCGGCGAGCTCAAGCGCCTCTGCTTCCAGGACGCAGGCGGCGGCGCCGGGGGCCCGCCAGGGGGCGCGGGCGGCGCGGGCGGCACGTGGTGGCGCCGCTGGCAGCCCCGGGTGTGGGCGCTCTTCGAGGACCCCTACTCGTCGCGGGCCGCCAGGGTGAGCGCTTTCTCAGAGCCCCCATCCCCCTCCCCTCTCCAGGAGCTCCCAGACCCTCAGGGAGCTCCCCATCCTCGCCCTCAGCCCCTGGTCCCTCTCAGGCCCTCCTGGTCTCTTAGCCTCCCAGTTTCTTAGAAGCCTCTTACCCCATTCCTGGGTCTCCCGTACCCCTCTGAACACATCCCCCTCTCCTGGCCATCCCCAGATTCTCAGAAGATGTTTCTCCAACTTTCAGAACCCTCCAGACCTGTTTCAACCCCACCCTGCTTCTCTAGTCCATCCTAGACGCTTAGAAACTTCTTCTCTGATGGGCCAATCTCCTAAACAACTTCCCTGAACAGCCCCACCCCCTCCTTTCCTGGACCCCGCTAGAGAACTTTCAGAAGATGTTTACTCAACCCTCAGAGTCTTCCCAGACTCTTTTCACCTCTTCTCACCTCTCTGGGCACCTTTCAGACTCTCAGCAGACTCTCCCCCCAGCCTTCAGTTTCTTGGACCTCCCTAAATCCTCAGAAGACATCGCTTCCTAACCTTCAAAGTGTCCCAGGGCTTGTGAACACTGTCTCCATCCCCTGCAGACCCCGTGAAGCCCGCCCTTCAGTTCTCCAGCCTTCAATCCTGCAGGCTCTCCCAGCACCTCTCTCTCCCTCTGCCCGTCTCCGAATCCCCTGCCTCTCTCCAAGTTTGCATCTCCTGGTTATCTTTGAGCCCCTCTGCTTCTTCTGCCCTTTAAGTCTCAGCATAGTTTCCACCCCACTCTCAGAGTGCCCCGGACCCCTCTGAACCTCCAAACCAATTGCTTCTGCTAGGACACTCCCCCCTCACCCCCACTGCAACGCTGAGTCTTGGGGCATCTTCTCTCCTGGAACCTTGCTGCCCCCTCTGTGTTTCACATCCCTTCTCGCATCCTTCACACCAACTCCTCTCCTGAGGATTTCTCAATACAGCTCCAGACTTCCCCCAAGGCTTTCACACTCCTCCTCAATGTCTCCAGAAGAGCCCCGAGCCCCCAGAATGTCTTTCGTCTCCAGAACTTCCCATATGCCCTCTAGAATCGCTTCTGCCTCATCCACAGATTCTCCCAGCTTCTCCGTTCCATTGTTTAAACTGCATAGCCCACTCTCTATCTCTGGGACAACCCCACCCCTACCCCCATCCTCAGCCTCCCAGTCTTTCTCCTAGTCAGTAAATGACTTTCCTCCCTGCTCCATAACTTTTACCTAACCTCAATCCTTGGGACCCTCAGGTTATCAGACCCAAAACTTCCTTCTCAAAATAGCTCCCAGTTCTTTCTTGGTTTCTTTCCACTTGTCCCCCCATCCCCGGCTCCAATCCCTGCTCGCTTCATCTTTCTCAAAACCCCCGCCCCCCACTACCCAGTCTGAAGCCTAGAACTGGGCTCCTCAGCCCCTCCTGACCCCCCTCCCTGCAAAGTGAACCAAAGAGCCCACACTCCAGCCTTATCCTGTCTCCCGCCTTATTGCCCTCAAAATTCTAGACTTCCTCCAAAGATCTCATCTCCCACCTAAAAAACTTTCCTCAAAAATCTGTAACTTCTTTGGCTAAATAGCTACCCTCCCCCGTAGTTCTCACTTGAACCTCTTCCTCCTCCTAACTTCATCCCTGTGTGATGGAGAGAGGACAGTTCAAGATAGGGGGACTTAGAGAAAAGAGGGAAAGAGGAGAGACTCCAGCCCCCCTCCGAGCCTCCTGGGGACCCAAACACCCGGAGGAGCCGTCCGGCACCCTCCCCCCACCGTGCCGCGTCCTGGGCCGGGAAGGACGCGGAGCCGCAGTGCCGCATTCGCGCCGGGGGAGGGACTGAGAGGGAGGGGGGCCCGGAGGCACCGCATAAAGTTTCGTCCCCGGGAAGCGCTGAGTTGGCAGGATTTAGGTTTGGGGTGGGGGGAGGTGGGGCAGAAGAGGTGCGGAAGGGACGTGGCCTTAGATGCCCCCTCAGGCCTGTCACCCTCTGGAGAGTCACCCTCCCTCCATGGCCTGGGGCGCCCTTCCCTCTTGTGATCCCATTGAAGGGTCCTGAGGTGAAGCTAGGGGTTCAGGACAGCTCCGGAGGACATTTATTTACTTTACAGCTGTGTTTTGCGTGTCCGTGTAGCACTTTCTAGCCTTCAAGTGAAAGTCTGAGAGTCGAGAGCTGAAGCCAGAGCAAAGTGGAGGGTCCGGTTTCCTTCCGCCTCGCTCCCCTCTCCGTAATCTCCCCTTCCTTCTTACAGGACTTCATGCCCTCCTACCCCTTCTGCTTTTGAACCATCTCGGGACAAGGGGGTAAACCAGTCCTGGCTCTGTCCAGCTGCGCACTGCGGCGGGTGACGGCTTTTCTTTCTGTGTCCCGGGAGGGAAGGAGTTACTCAAGCTCCTGGCCTGTGGCCTCCCTCTGTGAAGCGGCACCGCGGCTGCGCACCGCCTGCTCCGCTCCGGCCGGGTAGGGGTTAAGACTGCTCCGAGTCCCTGCGGCTGCGCACTGCGGCGGGGGAGCTGTCCGTGGTGCTGGCCACAGCGCGCCCCGCCCCCTGGGCCGGCCGGCCCGCCCCCACTGCGGTGCCGCAGCCAGCGCTGTGCGCCGGGTTCCGAGTGGGGTGCGGGGGGAGCACCGGGCATGCGCTCTGCGCCGGCCTCTGGCCTCTTAAACCACTGCGGAGAAACGAAGAGGGGGGGTGGGGCAGAGGGCCAGCTCTGACCCTCCCTCCCCCCAGGCTACCCCAAGGTCTAGGGTCATCTCTGCAGCCCAGTGCTGGCTCTTCTCTCTTCTCTGCAGCCCAGCCTCTCTCTCGTCTACCCATCTGATTAAAGCTCCCTCTGCCTCAACGCCCATCCCCTTCTCTCAGGACTAACCCTACTGCTTTGACCTCCCTTCTACATATTTGATAAAGCCAGCTACCATTCCTAGAGGCCTTCAAGATCTTGACCCTGCCTTCAGTCCTCAAGGCCTTCATCAAAACCCACACCACTGAGCGCTCGGGACACAGATCCTTCCCCATCTTGAGATGACCCAGGCAGCCCATACCTCAGGTCATACCTCTGACCAGTCCCCTCACCTCTCCTTGGACCTAGCCCGGTCCTCTCCCCTTCCTCTGTGCCCAAGCCCTGGACATTCCCTTCCTTTCCAGAGCCTTAAACCCCACCCCTATCATCCCTTTTTTTCAGTCTTGACTCTTCACTTCCCTCTTTGTTCAGAGCCCTGACACCGCTCCTGTCATCTGTGGGCCCACCCCTTCGCTGTCCTCTCTGGGTGAGGGGCTCACCCAACCTTCTCTGTTTTCTTGGACCCAGTCATTAGCATCATGGTCCTTAAATATTGATACCTGAGGTCTCAACCTTGGCCCCCCTTTAACTGATGCCCCTATACCCTAACAAAAACTCAAGCACTGGTTTTGGAGCCAAGTTCTTTGCATATTCATCTAATGTAATCCTTACAATAACCCTGTAAAAATAAAACACCAAAACTTGAGGTTCAGAAGGCTTAATCTTGCCCAATTAAGCAGAGAAAAAGCTGGATTCAAACCCAGGCTTTCCTACTCTTCACCACCTCCTGGTTCTGCTTCCCCACCCACCTTCTCCCCTTTCCCTTCCCCCCAGTTCCAAGCCAAGCCCCAAAGCCCTGAGACACAGGATGCATGATTTTAGTCTCCCTTCCCCCATCCCCCAGCAGAATCACTGGACCCTGCCAGGGACCCCTGAGATATGACACAGGGAACAGGAGGGTTGGGGGGGGTGGTCTAGGAGACAGAGCACAGAGCCAGAAATTGCTGTTTCCAGGAAAGAAGTGGACCATCTGCTGCTGCGGCTGGGGCCAGCTCCTCTCCCGAGCTGGGGGAGAGCTGCCTCTGATCCTTTTGCAAGCTTTAGAGAGAAAAGGATGCAAGAAGCGATGGACGCATTGGGGCTGGGACACCCGGATTCCCCTGGAGTTTGGGTCTGAGAAAGGGGCCACTGGGTGGGTCTTGGGTAGATGGCTGGCGACCAGATGCCTGGGTCACCTTTTGCCCTTTTTCTCCCACCCTGCCCCACAGTATGTGGCATTCGCCTCCCTCTTCTTCATCCTCATCTCCATCACCACCTTCTGCCTGGAGACCCACGAGGGCTTCATCCACATCAGTAACAAGACAGTGACACAAGCCTCCCCGATCCCTGGGGCTCCGCCGGAGAACATCACCAATGTGGAGGTGGAGACAGAGCCCTTCCTAACCTATGTGGAGGGCGTGTGCGTGGTCTGGTTCACCTTTGAGTTTCTCATGCGCATCACCTTCTGCCCAGACAAGGTGGAATTTCTCAAGAGCAGCCTCAACATCATTGACTGTGTGGCCATCTTGCCCTTCTATCTGGAGGTGGGGCTCTCCGGCCTCAGCTCCAAGGCTGCCAAAGACGTGCTGGGCTTCCTGCGGGTCGTCCGCTTCGTCCGGATCCTGCGGATCTTCAAGCTCACGCGGCACTTTGTGGGGCTGCGTGTGCTTGGCCATACACTCCGCGCCAGCACCAACGAGTTCCTGCTGCTCATCATCTTCCTGGCCCTGGGTGTGCTCATTTTCGCCACCATGATCTACTATGCCGAGCGCATCGGCGCCGACCCCAATGACATCCTGGGCTCCAACCACACCTACTTCAAGAACATCCCCATCGGCTTCTGGTGGGCCGTGGTCACCATGACAACCCTGGGCTATGGAGACATGTACCCCAAGACGTGGTCGGGGATGCTGGTCGGGGCGCTGTGTGCCCTGGCTGGGGTGCTCACCATCGCCATGCCGGTGCCAGTCATTGTGAACAACTTCGGCATGTACTATTCGCTGGCCATGGCCAAACAAAAGCTGCCCAAGAAGAAGAACAAACACATTCCCCGGCCCCCGCAGCCTGGCTCGCCCAACTATTGCAAGCCCGACCCGCCCCCGCCCCCCCCACTCCCTCCTCACCATGGCAGCGGTGGCATCAGCCCCCCACCCCCCATCACCCCGCCCTCCATGGGGGTGACTGTGGCCGGGGCTTACCCGCCGGGCCCCCACACACACCCCGGGCTGCTCAGGGGGGGAGCGGGTGGGCTTGGAATCATGGGGCTGCCTCCTCTGCCGGCCCCTGGGGAGCCCTGCCCATTGGCTCAGGAGGAAGTGGTTGAGATCAACCGGGCAGGTGAGGAGGGGTCACCAGGGGTGGGGGTGGGGGGAGTGGGCAGGCAGAGGTGGGGTGGTGCTGAGGGGGGCAGGAGGTATGTGCTGAGGCTCGGAGGTGGTCAGCAACGGACACGGGAAAGAGGAAAGGGAACAGTGATGGAGAAGCAGGTTTCATGTGAAAGAGTTTTAGGGAGAGACAGACCTGCAGCCAAGGTATTCAGGGGGTCCAGGGGGAGGGCAGAGTGATCAGCCATATGGTGAGAGGGACTCAGAGAAAAGGGGGGTTCGGAGAGACACAGGGAGGGAGTTTCACGTGGGAATCGAGGGCCTGAGACAGAGGCCGGGACAGCTGCAGCTTATGTGATGAAGGAAATGAGAGGAAAGTTGACTGAGCCTGTGCGTCCCTCCCCCCAGGGGAGTCTGTGTCTCAGAAGCAGCGACTGGGGCATCTGTCTAGGGGGAGGGAGAGGCTGGGGGGCCCCACCCCCATGCCTTAAATAGGTCAAGAAAGGGAGCTGGGCCACCCGGCCCCCCATCTTGCTCCCTCAGCCACTGACCCAGTTTCACACCAATTAAAAATAGCCGGAGTCAGAGCCTAGGGGACCCCCACCTCCCCCTCCCTCATCTGTCACCTTCCCAACGCCTCCCCGCTGTGCCCTTGCCAGTGTCCAACACCCCTCCCTGAAGAACCACCTCCCAGCCTGCTCACCCCTCCCAACCATCCTTCCAAACCTATCCCACAGCACGCACCCGAGCCTAGCTGTGCCCCGTTTGGTCCATTTCAACCACGCAGCCCACCAGTGCCCAGCTCACTTCCCAAACACCTCTTCCCTGTTCCTGTTCCTCCAAACACCCAACGCCCTCACCCAGTGCCGCTCTTCTCCACACCCAGTGCCTGGCCTGGCTCCACTTCTTGGCCTTCGACACCCTTCCCTGCTATCCTTCCCAAGACTCAACACCCTCTCGGCCACGACCCTGCTCCCCAAACATGCCAGCCACACCCCCTGACCCCTGGCACCTCTGGCGCCCTCTCCTCCATGAGTTCCCACACCTCACTGTCGCCTTTGTGTCTCTGTCTCCCCCTCCGGACACAGATCCCCGCCCCAACGGGGACCCTGCAGCTGCTGCGCTGGCCCATGAGGACTGCCCGGCCATTGACCAGCCCGCCATGTCCCCGGAAGACAAGAGTCCCATCACTCCTGGGAGCCGGGGCCGCTATGGCCGGGACCGAGCCTGCTTCCTCCTCACCGACTACGCCCCATCCCCTGATGGCTCCATCCGGAAAGGTGAGGTGCCCCCAACTGCCCGGCCCCCTGGGACCCTCCCTCCCTCCCCTCCCCTAGGGGAGGGGAGAGAGGGAGATGGGGGAGGAGGTGCTGGACTTCCCTTCCCCCACCTCCTGGCCCCCAACTCCCTCCCTCTCAGACCCCCTCCCCTGAATTTCCTCACCACTGACCCTTCACCTGTCTTTATTGCATCTCCATTCCCCCACCCCACCCCACCCCGGACCCTCTGGCCTCTTCCCCCACCCCCAGCCACCGGTGCTCCCCCACTGCCCCCACCAGACTGGCGTAAGCCAGGCCCCCCAAGCTTCTTGCCCGACCTCAACGCCAACGCTGCGGCCTGGATATCCCCCTAGTGGACGAACCCCCTCCCCCCGGGGTAAGTAGCCCCCACCCCTCTGAACCCCTTCCCTCCCGACTAACCCATCTGAGATCATGCAGCCCCCACTGACCGAGACTCCACCCCCTCACTGTGAACAGCTCCATCCAAGTAACCCCCGGCCCTGACACTGACCCCACACCCATCTGCCCAGGACTTGCCCTGCCTCTCACTAACTGCTAGAACTCACCCCACCCCTCCCCACCATGTGCCTGACCCCCCCACCAACGGCCTCACGACTGACCTCCATCCTCACCCCTATCCACATCTCTCCCCCTGCCTCCCCACCTTGGTTTTGCTTTTGTTTGTTTAATCAAGAAAAGGGGGCACACACCCAGAACATTCTTCTGAGGACAGGATGGGGTGAGAAGGACTGAGCCACTTATGCAGTCACTCGTGGCTTGGCCAGCACTTAGCAAGTACCCACACACATGTTCCTGGCACAGTGCTGAGCATGGGGAATCAACGGGGAGCATATCAACCCTGCCCCCGACCCCCAGTTTGGTGGGAGAGGCAGATGCTGACCCAGACCTGAGGCAGGAGAGCTGAGGGGCCCTGTCCTGGGATCTGGGGAGAAGCAGATCAGACATGAATTTGCACAAGCTCTGGGAGTTGGTGATGGACAGGGAGGCCTGGCGTGCTGCAGTCCGCGGGGTCACAAACAGTCAGATGTGACTGAGCGACTGAACTGAGCTCCACTCTGGGACTTCGTGAGGAGGCACTGGAGTGGGGAGACCGCGGGTCTGGAGGCTGAGGTGCAGGCTGGGATGAGGAGCCTGTGGGAGAGGACAAAGCCTGAGCTATGGGGATGGGGAAGAAGAGAGGCAGAGGAAAAGGGCCAGGACTGGACAGTGGGGAGGTCAGAGAGAGTGAGGAGACAGTGGACGAATTACCCAGCAAATGTAACCACGCACTTTCCACATGCTCTATATTCTATAATCCTCACAACAACCCCAGCTAACCCCTAACTTGACTCATTCAGCAACTAATGATTGAGGGTATAGTTCCAGGCACTGGAGATTTGGCAGGGCCCAAAGCACAGATCTCCCATCACAGAGCTGATACTCTAGAGCCCTGTGGCAACGGACTATAGCCAAGGGCCAAACCTGTGCACCAGTTGTTTTGTAAATAAAACTTTATTGGAACACAGCCACTGTCTACAACAGCAGAGTGGAATAGTTTCAACAGAGATGGTAATGGCCCACAGAGCCCCGGAAATATCGACTGTCTGGCCCTTTACAGGGAAATTTCTCCACTCCATGAATGGGGGAAGCAGAAAACAAGATAATTACTCTAACCAGGTCAGATAAAGGGGTCTGTGAAGGTCTTTCTGAGAAGGTGACCTAAAACTTGAAGCTCAAAAAGGACCAGCGGGCAGAAGAAAGAGCAAGCTCAAAGGCCCTGAGGTGCAGAGGTGGGATGCCCCTGGTTTGTTAAAGGAACAGCAGGGAGGAAAGTGTGGTTGGAGTTGAATGGCCGAGAGGAGAGTGGAGGAGCCTGGAGGGAAGTGTTTTTGGCCATGATGAGAGGCTGGATTTGATCTTAAAAGTGTTGAGAAGCCACCTGAAGGCACCTGGTCTGTCACTTATTCATTCAACAGACACCTATGGAGTCTTCCTTCCAAATGCAGAGATAGAGCTTAAAGAATCCCTAGCCGCAGCCTAAGGAGATGGCAGAGCAGGACTCAGGGAGCCTCCAAGGAAAACTACATCTAAAGCCCCTTGTTTCACAGACACTCAGAGAGGGCCATGGCCAACCCCCAGCCACAGAGCAGATGCGGGGCGAGAAGCAGGCTTCCGGGCTCCTAGTCCAGAGGGAACTGTCTGGCTCTTCTTGTTCCATTCCCGGACCTCTCCTGTTGCAACGCCCCCCACCTCTCCCCCATCATCCTCCCCTGTCATCTCATTACCAACCCCCGCCTCCCTGTTCCCATCTCAGCCCACCCCCCGCTTGCACCCAGCCCTGTTGCCTACTCCCTTTGTTCCCCCACCCCCAGGTCTGGATGGGCCCCTATGAAATTGAGGGGCGGGGCAGGAGGACTTGGGAATGTGGGTAAGGGAGGAGTGGGGGGATTGGCAGGGGGGAGGCGGGTAGGTCTCTGCTTCTTTTGCCTCTGATGCCAAAATCCATTCATTGAACTCAAATAATGGCTGGAGCTGATGGGGCTGGCTGAACTCCCTCCCCCAAGGTCCTGGATCCCTACCCCTTCCACGCCTGCCGTCCTCTTAGCTTCTCCCTCACCCTCCACTGTTCCCTACCCCCCCTTCTTTCAAGACCCTTCCTCCTGACCTGCTCCCCACCCACCCCATCAACCCCCTTCTCTGTCTTCCCTCAGGTGCTGCTGGGTCCAGCACCTGACCTGCATCCCCCACCCCTTCCCCAGTACTCCCCCTCCTCTCTCCCTTCATCTTCCCCCCACTCCAAAAGCCACCCCGGAAGCTCCTTTCATATTTGATGTCTCTGGCCGCCCCCATTTCACTGCTCCCCTCCCGCGGAAAACACCAGAGAGGAGGAAGAGATCCCGGCGTTTCTCCGGCCCCCCAACAGTGAAGCTGTGTTGGGGGGTTCTCCCTGACCACCCTCCCCCCGCCGTGACTCTGTGTATTTCTGTCCCCAGCTCTTGTCACCGCCTGAGACCTCGCGAGACCCTCGATCCCCCCCTGCCCCTTTCCCCCAGGTTAGCAATTGGGAATGGCTGGGAGGGGGTGACTCCAAGATACTGGGCTTCTGACCCCCCGACCCAGGCCCTGTCTTCTCCTGTCAAGGTGCCCGCATCCAGACAGATCCCTTGGTACTGGCCAGGAAAGCCCTAGAACAGCCCAGATACTGGCAGAACTCTCAAGACATTCCTAAGTTTTCAAGAAACCTCACACCTGCCCCTAAGCCTTAGATCCCTTGAGTATCAAGACACTGTCAGGACCTTCCCATCAGAAGGTTCCCATCTGAAAGCCTTTAAAGACAGCCCATTACAAGCCTCCGCGGAGCCTCGCCACCTCGGACTGCTCTTGGAGCTGTCCTTCAGCACCACCCCACCGCGGGCCCCACTCGGGGGGCACTGCCGACTTGTGCTCCATTCAGCCCCCACAGCCCACCCCCCACACCCCGTCCTCTTTCTCCGTCTAGGTTAACCCCCCACCGCCTGCGGCCCCACCCACCCCCTCCCAAGCCCTCCCCACCAGCTGCTCGCCCACTGGCATTCCACCCAAGCTCCTTCCCCACGCCCGTGCTGCCCACCATCTGCCTCGCTGCCCCCCCACCTTTTTGCCTCAGACGAGGGGGCCAACTGGGGGGAAGGGGGTGGGGGGGCGGGCGGCGGCGGGGGGTGGGGGAGGCTCGGTGGGTGCCACCTTGCCTCCTAACCCTGAGTCTCTCCCCCCTCCCCATGTCTGAACCTTCTCGATGCCAACTGACTGTCCGATTTGTTCACTTCTCTCTCTGTCCATCTCCTTGGTCCGCCTCTGTCCATCTACCCGTTTCTTGCCATCTGTCCGGCTCTCGTCTCCACCGTCTCTCCCTCTCCCTCCATCTCTCTCTGTCTCTGTCTCTCCATCTCGTATCCCTTCTGTTCGTTTCTCTCCTGCTTCCCTCTGTCTTGGGGTCCCGCTGTCTGCTGGGCCCTCCGCCTTCACCCCCATCTCCTCGCTTCCTCCTGTGTTTCTGCCCTTCCCCCTGCCCCCAGGTTACGAGAAATCCCGCAGCCTGAGCAGCATCGCGGGCCTGAGCGGGGTGTCCCTGCGCCTCGCCCCCCTTGCCACTCCCCCCGGCTCCCCCAGGGCCGCCCGCCGCGCTCCCCCAACCCTGCCCTCCATCCTCTAGCGCTCCCTTCCCCCCCGTGGGGGGACTCGGGGGTGACAGGGAAGAAGGTCAAAGGAGCTGGGGGTGGGGGGTGGGGGAAAGGGTTTTTTTTTTTTTAACAAAAAAAAAAACAAAAACAAAAAGTCATTAATAATATGCAACGGAGACGACGACGCCAGCAGACACCCCCGGGCCCCTCACCCCGACCTGGGCCCCCAGGATGGAGGGGGAGGAGCCAAAACCCGTCCCCCCAACTCTTTGCCCCTCCTAAAAAAAAGCCTTCTCAGGTCTCCATGAGCCATAGGAACCACCCCCCCCCCACGCCCCATCAACTCGTGTAAATACATCCAAATTATGCCAGTCACATTTTGGGGCGCCTCCCCCCTACTCTGCATGCCTCTTCCAACCTGGACCCCTGCCCTGTCCAACTCCACCTCAGCAATAAGCCGCGAGGGGCTGCATGCCATGAGCGAGGGAAGGGACATTCTGGGAAGCGGGTGGGGACCTCCAAGGGGGTCAGGCTGGCCTTTAAACCACACCACAGGAGGGTCTCCTAGCCTCCTACCCTTCACCCCAGGAGGGCAACCCATCACGCACTGATTTTTTTTTTTTTAAATTAGCAGCAATGTGGGGGAAGGAGGAACAGTCACCCAAGCCAAAAACGGGAACTGAGCTCAGATGGTAGAAGCGGAGGCATGGAGCCGGGGTGGGGGGGGGGCCGCGGGGAGGGCCTGCGGACAACTGCTCCCTCAGCCTTTAGGAGCATCCCGCTGGTGAATTTCACTCTTTCATCCGCCTCTCCTACCCCCCACCCCACCCCCTAGGATCTGCTCGCCTCTATTACTGCATGGACTCAGACCTCCCATCCCGGTATTCCTGGGATGTTCTGGCCCTAGCACACAAAATTCCGCAACCCGCGCCCCCCCCCCCCCCCCCCAGATTCCCAGGACGAGACCTGCCTTCAGGATTCCTGAGGCTGATTCTGGCACCCCGCATCTTCCAATCCCAGCACGCTCCTGGGACCTCTCTGCACACAGATGCTACCCGCCCCCCCAACGCCCAGTCCTTAACCCCTGGGCTGCATCCCAGCACCTTAACCTCCAAGACTTGACCCAGCCCTTGAACTCACGTTCAGCCTTCGGGATGCTACAATTTTTGCCACACTCTGAACACTTCCTGGACACCCCTAAACCTGACATCAGACATCCAGCTCAGGTTCCCCTGACGCTAGAATTTTCAAGATAGGCTCAACCTGCCTGCAATTCCAGGGAACCAGATCTTTCCGGGGCACCCCCTTCTTATGGCTAACCCTGTCCCCTCTAAGAGCCCCTTTTTTTAAATGGTGTCCCAAAGGCACCTTCATAGACGCCAGTGTTTCCCAGAGGGTCATATTTGCACCCCTGGCGACGTGCTAAGGTTTTAAGCAGTACAAGGACAAACACTTTTAAAGTTTTGTCTTTCCTGGCATTTCGCATATAAGCCTGTAAGTCCAGATACTGCTGCTTGGCCAGGACACCGTTTATTTAGGTTAGAGGTGTTTACATTTAAAATGTAGAGGCTGTTCCTGAGTGGAGGAACGCTGGAATATCAGAAGCTTGGGAAACAATGACATATCCACCAGGGCTGGGATTCCAGCTAGCCCCTCCCCCGCGTTCCTCAAACCCCGACGCTCGCGGGTGGAAAATCATTTCTCACATCCCATCCTGGCTCAAGGATGCGCTACCTCCCCCAAGCCCAGAGACCACACCGGTCCCAGAGTCCTTAGGGGACTCCCCTTTTTGGAGTTGGGGGGCCCACGGAATTAGCAACCTCCCTCCCTCTGCTCCCACCGGCCTCAGGAACACCCCCCACCCGAGGGTTGGGGGGATGTCACTGAGCACGATTCTTGATGCAACGATTCCTATGCAAGGGGCATTTTGAGTCCCCCCATTCTTCCCTCGGACCCTGAACCCTGGCGAACCAGGGGCGAGGGGAGGGGCGGGTTCTGGTGGGAGCGGGGTGGGGCGGGGTAAAGGGCTAGGGGCTTCAGACACCAGGGTGTGGGCTTGGAGACTGATTACATTGCCAAAGGGTTTAACTTCTTAAAACCCCAGATACCCCTGACCCTCACGGAAGCCGAAAGGTGCGGGGAAAGGGGGTGAGGATTTTTCTAAAGGGTACGGACTTCTTCCCAACGTCTACCCCCACCCCCCCCCCGGCTCGCCAATCTGCCACACGTACCCAGCTTTTTAGTTCAGCTTTTGAAAATAACCACAATCATTACAAACCTCTACAAACGTTATTCTCGTCTCCCCGTCCCCCAAGTCAACAGTGTGGGAGTCGGGGAGGGAGAGAGAGAGCTAAAGGGACAACTTCCAAGTCCCGCGCCCCTTTTCCCCCCGGCCGCCAGGGTGCCTGCAACTACACGCATGCGCTGCATGACGCGCTCCCCACACGCATGTCGCGCCCCGCCTGCGCTCCGGGAACGCACGGACACGGGGCAGGGGGCGGGGTGATTGGGGAGGAATGAACGGCGGGGGTCTTTCTGAACACAGCGGCTCCTCCCCAACACACACACAGCAATAAGTTTTTCACTCAAAAGTGGGCGGGGCGGGCCTGGCCTGTCGTTGGGGTGGGGGGGGAGCGGCAAGGGGGCGCTCTCAGGGATGGGGGAGGGTGTCCTGAGTCAGTCTGGGGAGGGGAGGTCTGCAAATCGTCCAACTCTGGTGCTAATGGCGGGTCTTCTCAACCCACCCCCCCAGGGCAGGGAGGGAGGGGTCAGCGTGGCCCCTCCCCCAAGCCTCCCCCACGCCCACCCTGGGTGCATGAACCGCCCGATGCAGAAGCTGCCGCATGTCACCCCCCCAAAGAAAAAGTGTCATGCCCCCCCTCCCATCCACCCTGTCACTCCCCACCAAAATAAAAGTTTCCTTTTCATTTAAAAGTTTCATCCTTCTTGTCTGCAGAGAAAGTCTCTTGAAGGGGGCTTTGGGGGCAGACCTAAGGGTTGGGTCTTTAAGAGCAGGGGTCATACTAAAATGGCAAGGACATGCACTTTGAGGGTGCAGACATGCCCCTCATCGCTGGCTCTCACCTTGTGATTTGGGGGTGAGCAACTATCTGCCTCAGTTTCCCTGATGGTAAAAATGGGGATACATGAGGTTGGATGGCATCGCCGATTCAATGGACATGAGTATGAGTAAACTCCAGGAGTTGGTAATGGACAGAAAGGCCTGGTGTGCTGCAGTCCATGGGGTCTCAAACAGTCGGACACGACTGAGCAACTGAACTGAACTGAGCCCTAATTGGAAACCCCAGGTGGGTCATGTGAGCTCATAGATGAGGGTTTCTAGTCTCCAGAAAAGGGATGGACCTGGGTCTCCAGTGTGGGCTCAGGGGTTACCCACTCTGAAGCCAGACTGGGTTCTATTTCTTAGTAGCTGTTTGTCCTTGGGCAAGTCTCTCAACCTCTCTGAGCTTGTTTCCACCACTCAGAAAGTGGAGGTGGTGATCTATTCATTTAACCAATATAAAAAGGAGGGGGTGATCTAGTCATTCAGCAAATATAAAAAGGTTAACTACACCAGGCAGTGTTCTAGACACTGGAAAACAATGAAATCTCTACACCTACCGGTTGAGACTAATGTCCCAAGTTTAGCACAGCTCGGTAAATAGTATTCAACAAACAGCTTAACAGTCACTACTGTCATTGCTTTGCAAAGACTTGAGGGTCAGCTAGAGTGCAGCTCTCCTTCCTACCACTGGATGATTGGGAGGCATGGAGCCAGGGACCCTGCAGCTCTGAGCCTCCTTTTCCCATCTGCATAATGGAGGGGATACCTCGGAGGGAGGCAGGGTGAGAGGGGAAGGATTCCTTCCACATTAAATGCTGGGCAAGCTGGAGGCCCCCCGACACCGACCAGCTGGATTAGAACCAACCCACTGCCCCCCGACCCCGCACCGCTCCTCGCCCGTCCTGTCTCCCTACCCCTGGAGGAACACACATAGCCCGCAGGGTCCAGTCGGGTTGGAGTTTATTTCTGCCACGGTTTGAAGGCCGGGAGGGTATGGGGCCTCCTCCAGCCCCCATGGGAAACTCCAGCTGAACTGTGATCACACAAGAGCAACGGGAGGGAACCTGAGGGGAGGGGGGATGTGTGAGGTCCCCTTATCCTGACCCTTCTGCAAGGGTCAAAGGCTGAGGGCCGCCTGGAGCTCAGGGTGCCGTTGCTCATAAGTTCCGGGGTCGGTGGCTAAGTGGAGAGACAGGGAGAGGGAAAGAGGGAGGGGGTGGGGGGAGGGGAAGGGGGAAGGGACGTGGAGAGTCAAGCTCCCTTCCTAACAAAGATCATTCATAACCGAAGGAAGGATTTGGAGCTGGATGGGACCCCAGCTTGCCGACCACACCCGAATTTCTCCCAAGTGAGATCGCCGCAGTCTGCGATCCCTGCTTGCCCGCTCCTCTGTTTAGGGGTTCACAGGGAAGTCTCCCGGGACCCCCGGGGTGGGCTGGATAAGTGCTGTCATGCCGGAAGGCGGCACCGTTTCCAAAGTGCAAGAAGCCAGAGGGCGGTTCTCAGGACAGGCGCCTGCAAGGGGGTGGGGGTGGGGGTGCCAAGGAGGGAGGGCCCGACGGCTGGGGGCAGGGTAGGGTCACTGCGGCGGGGCCGCCGCGGACCGTTCGGGCTCCAGGGGCGCAGGCCCGGACCCCGGCTCTGCCTCCGCCGCCGCCGCCTCCTCATCGGACGCCACGCCCTCCTCCAGCCGGAAGACCTGGCGCACGGTGCGGGTGGTGAAGGTGAGGGGTCCGCGCCTGCGGGGAGAGGAGGAGAGACCAGGAGGCAATTACGGGAGGAGGGGAGAGAGAAAAGTGAGAGGCGGGGGGGATACGGAGAAACAGAATAAAATGGGGAGGGGGCACAGAGCGAAGACGGGGGAGCTGGGGGTTTCTGCAGAGGGGCTGCGCGTGCACGGGTGGCCTCACCGGAGCCGGTTCCTCAGCGTGTTCAGCTCCCGGTTCATGGACTCGGAGGCCTCTGTGACATCCTCCAGCTCGTGCTGCAGCCTCCTGCGGACCGCCTGGGCCCGGGAAGCCTCCTCCTCGGCCTCCTCCAGCTGCCTCTTCAGCTGCTTCACTCGAAGGCTGCCCTTCTCCAGCTTGTGCGGGAGTCGGGGCGTGGGGTCATGTCTCTGGGTGCGGCTCTCACCCAGAGCGCCCCACATCTCCCTCCTCCATCCTGACTGTCACACGCCCTGCCTTCTGTTCATGCTTTTGTTCTGCTCTGCTGGATCCTCCCACCAGCCTCCAGGTCAGGCTCAAAGGCGAAATCACCCGCCACTCGGCCTCAGAGGGGCCTCTCTGTGCTCAGATGTGCCCCTGCCCTGTTCAAGGTCCTCCCGTGATTCTTCAGTGCCGCTGGGACAAGGTCCCAGCACCTGGGCCTGGCGTTCCAGGCCCCTGCAGGGTCTTCTTCCCATAATCACATGGATCCGGCCATCTGTAGTGAGACCCTCCCCCAGACCCTGCTATCTCTCTCTCTAAGGAGAGGACACACATAATCTGCCTCCCGCCAACTCCTCTAACCTCATTTATCACTCAACCCCCCAACCCCATTCTTCTTGCAAGTTATTCTGCTCTGCTTTTTTGCTTGGGACTCACTGAGCTGATTTCCATAGCCCAGGGTCTTTGTACCGGCTAGTCCCTCTTCCTGGCTCTTTCTCACCTTTCAGTATCAATTCAAATGTCACTTCCTTAGAGAGGTCTTCCGGACCACCTCCCTCCAAATCTAGGGAGGATTCTCCAGTCCTCTGTATCCCCCTCTCTCTTTATTCTTTTTTCTTCATAACCCCTTTCACAATCTATGATTATCTTTGTTTGTTTATAGGTTTACAGTGTTTTCCTCTTCCTGTGTTGAAAATGTGAACTTCATGAGGGCAGGGACATTCTCTGTGTCATTCACAGCCATATCTCCAATGGTTTGCACAGTGCCTGGCACATAGCAGGTGCTCAACAATTGTTTTGTGAAATAATTGGCGAATAAAACACAGCTGAGCTTTTAAGGGCACAGCAAATAGAGTGAATTACATTTGAGCCTGGGGTGGAGGCTGGCAAGAGGACCTAGGAGGACCTGATCCATACTGTCTTTATTAACTGTGTGAATTTGGGGCAAATTATACCCCCTTCTAAAGTTTCCATTTTCTTACCTGTGAAATGGAGCTAAGGAGAGAATGCAAGCATGCTGTCTTTTTGTTTAAGTAGGTAGCACAGTATGTGGGATACATTTACTAATCAATAAATAATTAAGGGGACAGATACTCAGCCAAAGGGCTGAAGGTTGAACTCTGGCTCCATCTCTTACTAAATAAATAATTGTGATCAAGTTACTTCAGTTTTATGATATGAATAAGAGGGAAAATAATAGTACCTACCTCATGAGTTCTGATTAGAACTAAGTGTTACTACATGTTATGTCTTTAGCACTGGCTAAAGAAAGCTCTCAATAAAACCATTTTATTATTTAAGCTGTGGCCTAGCCTCTGGGTAGGATTTAACCTCTTCCCTCTCATTAGCTGTCTCAGCTCCCCACCGGGGCTTTTCCTAGATTCCAGAATTTACAGATCACAAAAAGTCACTAATTCAGGCTCTCCACTGATGCACCAAGCCCCAGTACGTTGTCTGCACTCGGCTTTAGTCCAGTACCCACACATTACCTCTTGTGATGGGAGCTCACTACCTCTAGAGATGCTACCTCTCGGTCAGTGGTCCCCCCACTCCCACTGCTTCTCCTTGACATCAGCTGCTCACCTGGTCCCGGAGCTGGTCAGCCACCCTCCGCTCCTCCTCCACCTGGAGCACCACCTCTTTAAGCCTCTTCTCAGCCCTCCGCACCAGCTTGCCAGAGAGGATGCGCTCCCTGAGGAGAGGCACGAAGGGGAGAATC